AAAAAAAAAAAAAAAAAAACCTTACACGTGTGGTGTCACATTGTTTTTAACGAAGAAAAATTGCTACAACAGGTTTATTGCCGGTGTAAAAAATGATTTTGATACGCGTTAGGCGCACGTAAACGCAATGCGTTATATTGTATTACAGTTTTATTGATATCAAAAAAAAAAAAATTACAGTTTTCACCGGCCGAAAATGTTACACATACAAGTCGGCGGCACGTGAATAATAATTTGAAAAATGTGATGATTTTTTAAACCCATCGAGGCTCATACGCCCCCACACGGAGCCATGGCCGTCCACGTTTGTCTAATTATAATTTTCGTGTAGAAAACCGTCTGCTAAAACAACGTCATGGTATCGGTAGCCGTCCAATTATGAAAAAATCGCGGTAAAACGGAGAAAAAAATGAAAATAAATTTGTACAGGTGGACAATATGTGTTTTCACTCGTTATTCTCAGTAACGATGTCTGAAAGATCGTTGACCCTGAATTTTGTTTTTCTCCTCACAATTATTATAATACTCTGACGCGCTTGGAATTCATGACCCGTTAAATCTCCACCGTTGGCGCCGAATGCAATCACTCTGTTGTGTGAGTTATGAAAAATGATTTATCTTCATCGAAAATCGTTTCAATTCATTTACATATTCGGTAAATAATGGCGTAGTGTTGTCAATGTTTATTCGAGACTTACGGAACCTTGGAATATCGATCGGCTGGGGAGCATTGCACCATAATATGAAAATATTACTCTCGACAGACTAGACGACGGTGTGTTGTGCTGACTATATTTTACTGGATGTCATTTAAGAGCGTACGGCAGACACGACGTGTTCGACAAATGAGCTTTGCATATTTTACTAGCCGGTAGATGTCCGACGGTTCTCAAAAACCGTGTAAACAAGTGCGTCCGATGGCGCTAGAAAATTAAGCCCACGACGACATATAACGGACTAACAATCTTCCCGGTACGGGAACTGTGTAAAACTGAGCGCGGTCCGAACACGCGCGGCGGGTGGCGGATTACCGTTTTAAATCGTAGCAGGTGTCGAACCGATTCTGTTGACATCATTTACTTGTCCGATGGAATAGGCAAAAAAAAATCAAAGAAAACACAACGATCTTCTAGATCCTTCCGCTAATTCTCGACGGGTTCGCGTTCCGACCTATCCACATTCAACGGACTATTTACCTCGGAGATTACAACAACCAACAAATAGAAACTGAGGAATTTTTTAATAAAAATAAATTTCATCTTGTTATTAAATGCGCAAAAATATCGGTTCGATACGTAGTACGTAAGTGC